CTGAGTCCCCAAATCGCCGGGAGGAATCTGTATCGTTTTTGTGTGTTACAGACGTGATCCTTCCCCCCCCCCTTTTTTAAAAAGAATTATTTTACTTTATTTATTTATATATTTATTTATTTTAATTTCACCAGAGAGGGACAAAGTGGGAACGGGAGGGAAGGCAAGAAACCAAGTCGCCAGTTACAGTACTTGAAGCATGGTTGGCCATTTGGGAGTCCAGTGCCCTTAACCTCCATGCCACCTGCTGGTCCCCCCTCTCTTTTTTCTCTTTCTGGAATTATTTTATTTAACTTTGTTTCTCTCTCTATTTATTTATTTAATTTTATCAAAGAGGGACAGAGAGAGAGAAAGTGAGAAAGCAAGATGCCAGGTCCATGACTTGAACCGCAGTCCACCATGTGGGACTCCAGTGCCCTAAACCACCATGCCACCTGCCGGCCCCCATCCCCCTTTCTTAAGCACATTGTAGCCCAGGCCAGATCACAGTACTTATTGTCTTTGGAGACAGATTTGATGTGTTTGATTCCCCATTCTCTTCTGCCTCCTTTCTCACTGGTCTAGCTTGAGCTCTGTAGTTACAGACCAAGTTTCATAGAAAAGACAGGTACAAGTGTAAGAAATCCTACAGGATGCTGATCAGCAGGAGACAAACAAGTGGAACAGATTGTCCATAAAAGTGAAATTGGTAGGGGGTCTCTGGTACCTAAAGAGAAACAAAATGATGGGGATGAAGGCAAAAAGCAGAGGGCAGTGAAATAAGCAGGATATGGTCATGGAAAGGGGCCCTGTAACTGACCAAGCAGACACTGCATATGCACAATGCCTGTCATCCTCTCATGTTCCCAGTGTCGAGCAGATCAGGAGGCTGGGAATGCACACATCTGGCAAGTCTAACCACCACCAGAACTGTCCCAGTAGCAGGAAAATCATCTTTCTAGGATGAGAGTTGTGGATTCTCAACTCCAGCTAGGGGTGGCTGGAGTCAGTGGGTACTATAGTCCAGGGGACTAAGAAGGGGTTGGAGGAGGAGTCAGGGAAAATATTTTGGAGTCATTGAAAAGAGGACCAAGACGGACAGGGCAGTGGCGAGTGCATGATCTATAGATCACAAAGGAAGAGCTGGGCATGGAGAGCTCAAGTCAGGGTAGTTGTAAGTGTTGGTATTCATCAGGGTAGGAAAGAGGTAGAGAAAAGAGTGAAACAGAGGCATTGTACTTGGGGGTAGGCTGAGGGCTGGACCCCTGAGGAGAGATGGGAGGAAGGCGGCTTTCACCAGAAGGGCGGAAAGGAAGAGTATGAGGAGGAGGCTGGGGCTCAGAAGGGGCAGTTTGAGGTGGCATTTAGTCATTTTCTTTCCTAGCACTCTTCGTTTCTCGTCCAGTCCGAATGAGTTTGAAAGAGTGAGTGGGCAAGTGCCCTGACCTCCTGCAGCATTTATGTCACAGCACTCCTGACATGATTCTGTGACTAAATGTCCATTATGAGATGTCTGGATCCCATCCTTTTGGTTAGGGAGTGGGTCCCACCCACTAGGGGAAAAAACCCAGTTTCTAGGTTTAAGAGTAACCATTGGAGGGATCAGCAGATGGAGTATTGGTTATGCTGCTGCATTCCAAAGAAAGCATAGGAAAGCTCGAGAATTCAGGCAGAGCCAGCACAGACAGATTCCATTAGGACAAAGCCAAGTGGATGTGTGGAGTCAGAGCAGAGGGTACCTACCATGAAGACTATGCTTGGTGGAGCTACAGGGGGGGGACCACTCTCAAGACCCCAGAATTGGGAAGCTATCCCCAGGACACACCAACCACCCTGAAAGAACTCAGAAAAAGGAGTTTCTGAGTTTTTGAAGAGAGCGAAGCAGGGACTGAGCTCGACAGGTCAGGGGTGCAACGCTCTCTGATGTTTTGGGAGTCGGCCCTCTCAGTGCATCCAGGGTGCAGCACACGGAGTGTCAGAGTCTAAGGTTGGTCCTCTTGAGTTCTGGCCTTGCTTGGAATGGGAATGTCTACCCTGCTCCTGATCCATAGCTATACATTGGAAGTAATTTGTTTTGCCTTCATATTTTACCTTGAATCTCAGATAACATTGGACTTTGGTCTTGGACTTGAAATGAGTCAAGACTTCTGGGGCCATTGGGATGATTTTGGATAGGAGAAAGATGTGAACTTTGGGGTACAGGTAGAAGGTTATGGTTTGTCACCTCAAAGGTTCATGTTTGGGACTTGATTGTACTGTAGAGGTGTTAAATGAAAGTTTAATTCTTTCATAGTGTCTCAGGGTGGAGCCTTGGGTATGATCATGGATATTCTATGATTCATTTCTGGTGGGCTGATAGGTGGAGGGGATGACAGCAAATCTGACGGGTAGGTGCTCTGCCGAAGACCCTGCCTGCTGCCATGTTGTAGCCTCACCAGAAGTTGTCCCTTGAGCCTTGGATCTTGCACTGGGAACTGAATGAACTCAGTTTATTTATAAATCTCAGTCTGAGATATTCATGTTAGCAGCCCAATTATAGACTAAGACATGTGGGGATGGAGAAAAGTGGCATGTCGCTGGGTGGGAACCAGAGCCAGCTCTAAGGGGCCTGTGAGCTGATCGACGTGATCATTAGCTCAGAAGCTGTGGGGGCACTGAAGGATGTTAGGGAGGGACTAGCATGATCAAGTTGGCCTTTCAGCACAGCTGAAGCTAGCAGTGTAAGGGATGAGCTGGAGTAGACATCTTGGCGGGAAGGAGCTCTTCAAACCAAGGGGGCAGTGAGGTAGGCCCTGCTGAGGTTGGGAGTGCAGATGGAGTGAGGGGGCAGTCTCAGGTGCTTGAGATGGTGGACTGAAGTGATGAGGTGAGTGGAGATGCCTCCCCATTGATTCCCCATTCTCTTCTGCCTCTTTTCTCACTGGAGCTATCCGTAGGACACATCAGCCACCCTGAAAGAACTCAGAAATGGGAGTTTCTGAGTCTCTGAGTTTCTGAAGAGAGCGAAGCAGGGACTGAGCTCGACAGGTCAGGGGCACAAAGTTCTCTGATGTTTTGGGAGTCGGTCCTCTTAGTGCATCCAGGGTGCAGCACACGGAGTGTCAGAGTCTAATGTTGGTCTCCTTGAGTTCTGGCCTTGCTTGGAATGGGAATGTCTACCCTGCTCCTGTTCCACAACTATATTTTGGGACAAATTATTTTTGCCTTCATTTTACCTTGTATGTCACATAGACTTTGGCCCTGGGGTTGGAATAAGATAAGACTTCTGGGTCCCCTGAAGCAGGAAC